CAAAAAAAAAAAAAAAAAAAAAAATTCCAGAAGGAGAGAACAAAGAAAATGGAGAAGAGGAATGTATTACATAAATAAATTTAAATAATTTCCCAGAATTGAAGGACTTCACAATGAAGAGACATAACAAATAATCAGCACAACGAATGGCAAAAGACCCCAAATCTAAACACATAGTTATGAAGTTTCAGAACACCAAGAATAAAATTCTTTAAAAAAACAAGGGGAGGGGTGGATGGAGTAAAAATACTTTTTCCTATTCTTCCCACCAAGTACAGCTAAAATTGGAGTTGGACTTTATGTATACATGTAAGATAGAAGGTGGCAAACCAGGTAGGGAACTTGGTAGAAGAGGCATGACATAATGGTGAGCTCCCCGAGTTTGTTTTTTGTCTCATAATCCCAGACTTAGGACTGGAGAAGCCACCAATTAAATAATAACTGCTCTAACACCATGGAAGGAAACTGTAGCCCCACTTCCACCACACCAGCAAAGGCCAAGAGAGGAGCCTAGAATTTCACTTTTGCTGGCTGTAATGGGTTGCCCCTCTCCATTCCTGCTGGGGCGGTGTCAAAGAAGGTTGCAAGGACTCCCACCCCTACTAATTAGTAACAAGAAAACCCTTTCTCGGAGTTATCAATGAAGACAGAAGACTGAGTGGGCAACCTGGACTTCCATGCCCACCTGGTAGCAATGAGGCAATGTCTCCTCTTCCATTGCCAGACTGATGTCTGAGGAGGCAAGCTAAAACAGAATATTTAAATAAGATCCAGCGTTTCATAACACAATACCAAAAATGCTCAGATTTCAGTAGAAAATCACTCATCAAACCAAGAACCCGGAAAATCTCAACTGAATAAGAAAAGATACTTAGTAAATACCAACAATGAAATGACAGAGATGTTAAAATTATCTGACAAGAGATTTTAAGAAACTATCATAAAAATGCCTCAACAGTTAGGAACATACTTGAAACAAATGAAAAAGTAGAAACTTTCAGAAAAAAAAAATAGAAGATATAAAGAAGAGCCAAATGGGAATTTTAGAACTGAAAAATACAAAAAACAAAATAAAAACATGAACAGATGGGCTAACAGCAAAAAGGAGAGGACAGAGGGAAGAAATCAGCAATCTTGAAGATAGAACAATAGAAATTATCCAATCTGGAAAACAGAGAGAAAACAAACTGGAGAAAAAAATTGAACAGAGCTTCAGGGACTTGTGAGGTTATTACAAAAAAATCTAACATTTGTGGCATTGGGGGTCTCATAAAGAGAGGGAAAAAAGCGAGGGGGAAAGTTAACTACAAAACAATAAAACTGAGACTGATATCAGACCTCTTTTTTTTTTTTTTTTGAGTTGGAGTCTCACTCTGTTGCCCAGACTGGAGTGCAGTGGCCGCTCCTGGCCACTGCAGCCTTGACCTGCTGGGCTCCGGAGATCCTTCCGCCTCAGCCTTCCAAGTAGCCGGAATTACAGGCATGTGCTACCATGCCCGGCTGAATTTTTGATGTATTGTAGAGATGAGGTTTCGCTGCCCAGGCGGGTCTCGAACCCGCGGGCTCAGGCAATCCACTCACCTCAGCCTCCCAAAGGCGCGGGATTACAGGCTGAGCCACCGAGCCCGGCTGATATCAGACTTCTTATCATCACAACTGAATGCTAAGGGTTCCTGCACAATGTTTATATACCTAACTCTGAATTGTACCCCACATCTTTATAATAACATTTTTTTTAAAAAAACTGAATGCTAGAAGAAAGTGAAGCAATGCCTTCAAAGTTTTGTGGGAAAATGACTTTGAACTTCAAAGTTTATGGCCAAGTATGAGGATAGAATAAAAATATTTTTACACATAAAGACTCAGGAAGTCTACTTCCTACACAACCTTCCTGAGAAAGTTACTCAAGGATATGTTCCATTAAAATCATGGAAAAGGCTGGGCACAGTGGCTCACGCCTATAATCCCAGCACTTTGGGAGGCTGAGGCAAGAGGATTGCCTGAGCCTATGGGTTCAAGACCAGCCTGGGCAACTTGGTGAGATATCTCTACAATTAAAAAAATAAAATTACCAGGTGTGGTGGCACATGCCTGTGGTTCCAGCTACTTGGAAGGCTAAGGGGGAAGGATTGCCTAAGCCCAGCAGGTTGACGATGG